CTGTTTTCAGGGCGGCCAAGAAGCCGTTCTACCCGGCGGCGCCCCCCCCCCCCCCGCTGCCCCCCCCCTACGCCTCTGAGGAGGAGGAGGAGATCGTGCCCATGACGTACGACGAGAAGCGGCAGCTCAGCCTGGACATCAACAAGCTGCCGGGCGAGAAGCTGGGCCGCGTGGTGCACATCATCCAGTCCCGCGAGCCCTCGCTGCGGGACACCAACCCCGAGGAGATCGAGATCGACTTCGAGACCCTGAAGCCGTCCACCTTAAAGGAGCTGGAGCGCTACGTCATGACCTGCCTGAGGAAGAAGCCCCGCAAGCCCTACGGAGAGCAAGGTACCGGGAAGTAGAGGCTGAAATTTTTTCGGGAATCCCACGGGAGAGTCCCATACTGCCAGAGTTTTTTGAGCATTTTGACTGATTTTTTTAAGAGCCACAGAATAGTTTGTGCTATGACTATGTAAACACCGAACACACCAAAAGAAAGAGTAGACTCTCTTCTTTCATCAGGAAAAAAAATTTGTTTCTACCTTATTCCGTTCTTCCTCGACTTGCGTCTCACCGGCGACATGTTCTCTCATAGCGAACCGTTCCCTTTTTCTTATTTGCCTACAGTCTATGCTCATCTCCCATCAAAAGTGGCACTGCCCCCTAGAGGGTCAATTTGTTACTACATACTCTGTCTAGAAGCCTGATATTTACGGAAAAGCTTTAGCAGATCGTCCCCCAGCCACTCTCGTTGAAAAACATAAAAGATGTCGATAGACGTCTTTGGCAGTCAACGGTTGTATTTGAATTGACGTCTATAGACATCTTTGGCAGCCAATGAGTTAAGATTTTCTGGCCTGGGATCTTCCTATTGGTGCCCTAATCAAAATGGCCGAATTGGATGTAGGGGAGTTGGACATCCATCCATGGCTTCCTGCAGTCTGCAGCCAGACGGAGTTGATTAATGTTGGCATGTTATTATCAGCCATTAGCGGCAGCTAGCAATTCAAGGCTAACGTCACGTTAATGATCATAAACAACGTAAATAGATAAATCTGAGAAAAGGGGGCATCGATACTTTTGAAAATGAGTATCGTATACAACGTTTTAGTATCAATACTTTTGACAACCCCACATCCCACATACGATGAGATCAAATTAGGGATGTCCCGATCCAGCTTTTTTCTCTTCCTATCCGATCCCGATCCCGGCCTATCAGAGCATGTGTTAAAGTTTAAAGTTATTTATCTACTTACTTAGTTGTCAGACTCATGCTGAACAGGGATTTACTCTGATAACTTAATGGTTAGGACACAGACCTGTGGGTCAGGAGATGCTAATGCTAAATGCTAATGTGGTATCGGATTTCCCCCTGTTTCCCCAGAGTTTCTCCACCTCCGGAGCAACAGCGTTTCCTGCTAGCATTTAGCATTAGCATCTGCTAACCCACAGGTCTGTGTCCTAACCATTAAGTTGTTAT